GCTCGGTGAGCTCCAGGCGTTGACACTTTCGGAGGACGCTTCCGTGGCCGCAATGGGGCCTTCTTTCCCCCTTGGCGGCTTCCGGCCGATATACCGCGAGAGCGGCCTGAATCTCAAATGAAGAAGTGTACGCTCCTGCAGCGGCGTACCCTACCGTCATGTCAGAGTCTAGCATGTTATCTTCGGTGTAGGTTCTTCGGTGATGTGAGCGATGTGAAGGAAGTGGGGGAGCGCAACGCGTAGGACTCTTCGACCTCCAGCCGCTGATGGTGCAAGAACTTTCTGGGTGCAGGAAAAAAGGAACCCAGAAAGGGCTGAATTTGGCAGCGTTTACGTAAGGAGCACTTTTCCAAGGCGAGCCCTACTCGTCTCAGCTACGAACCGGAAAGAAACTGGACCCCTCAACAGTCTCCAGTCCCAATAGAATAACAGCTCTCAGACTTCGTACAGCATGGCACTCACACCGAGAAGCAAGTTCACAGGCATTCTAGATGGCATAAAGGGAATAGTTGTTGCAAAGCGATTCACAAGTAGTGAGGCTTTGCCGGAAGACTTGGAAGGCGTGAATTTTTCTGATTGGCGATGCACTCGTGAAACACTTGTCGTTGCACTTTCTCTAGTGGCCGGTGGTGGTCAAGCTTTTCTGTCGTGCTTCGTTTCTTTCGTAGTGAGCTTCTCGTTCTTCCTGTTTCACCACCGTGGCTGCCGTTGTGGTCGCCACTCGTAGCACCTGGTCGAGCATGTGGCATGTCTGACGGATATCAAGGCATGGGCTCAAGTCTCTCGTTTCGATCGAACATGTAACATGAGCGCTTGCCTGTCTAGCTGCGTTTCGGGAATAGTTGTGGTATGGTTGTCGGTGATCCCGATGATCCCGAACAGTGTTGGCCTCTCTTGCCAGGCATTTTTGCGTTGCGCAGTTGGAAGTCCCAATGCTATCTTGGCTTGCAGTCAATCCGTACTATCAACCATGACAGACGGAGTGCAAAAGGCAGAAGCGTGGGCTTGTTTCCAAAACGACCGATCAGATATCCTTGGCCAAGCACATGAATAGTTTTTGGCGGCATGTGGACCGCGATGTTTCACAACAGTCGAGATACGACGGAAGCTTTCTGGCTCGAGTTGTCAAGAGAGAGAATGCTAGGAAGCAGCTGCGACTGTGAGAAGAGAGTGTGAGTGATTGCAAAGCGTGCTGCCTGCCTGCACTGCTTGTATTTGTTTGTATCTGCTTATATCTGCTTATATCTGCCGGGCCCGTGAAAAGTTGGCGATGCTCCTGGGCTGACCATGGCCGCACGCCCGACGGATGGGGAGCCGTGCAGCCGTCGGCGCTTTTTTGTTTCTCTGGTTTCGCCTCCCAGGCCCAACAAGTGCAGCTGTCGGATTTCGAGATGGGCCGCACCTTGGGCTGTGGCTCCTTTGGCCGCGTGAAGTTCGCGAAGTACAAGCCGGATGGCAAGTTCTACGCCGTGAAGCCGCTTGAGCCAGGAGAGAGCGGAGAGAGCCGAGAGAGCCGAGAGAGCCGGGAGCGGAGCCGACCACAGCACGACGGCTCCGAGTCGGCTCCGAGTCTCCGAGCGTCGCCGAGCGTCTGAGGTTCATGAAGAAGCACGAGATCATCAAGCTGAAGCAGGCTATGGCCAAAGATCCAAACGCAACTCGAGCTGCGGCTTTTGCACAGGTGGATCATATCAACAACGAGAAGAGGCTCATGGCGCAGATCTCTTATCCCTTCATTGTCAACATGCCAGCATCCCAGTTCTCCGGAAAGGTTGGGCTTGCGGGCTTTCTTCGGCCTCTAGCTTCGAGCTGTGATTAATAGCGTTGAGCATCAAGCGACCGAGGATGGGCTATTGCAAAGACGATCATTTCGTCTATATTGCAGCTCGGCGAAGGGCAGCATGGGGCCTTTGGGGAGGGCGGCCTTTGCAAGGTCATGGAGTCCATCAATGGCGGCGAGCTGTTCACGCATCTGCGTCGCGCACGGAAGTTCTCAGATGAGCAGAGCAAGTTCTACGCCCTCCAGGCGCGGAAATGGGAGCGGGTGTTTTCTGTGCCTAGAGGCTGCTTTGAAAAAACCTCACGTGTCCCTTTCAACTGAAGACCGGTCACTCGCGCCAGCCAAAGTTTCAGAAACGGACATGTTTTAGTGGAGAGTCGCTCGCCAGCAAGCAAGGACAAGCCTAGTTGAAGAGGTTGTTTGCGTCAGCACTCACGGCGGATGCGTCTCTGCAGGTGGCGGCTGCCTTCGCACACATCCACAGCAAGAACATCATCCACCGAGATTTGAAGCCGGAGAACATCCTCCTGCAGTCCAATGGCTATGCCAAGCTTACGGACTTTGGCTTCGCAAAGATCATCGAACCAGGAGATTAAGATGCATAAGCAAGAGTACTGTGTCGCGAGAGCTCTGAGAATGGCCGAGCATTGCGAGGAACGCGGACATACACACTCTGTGGCACGCCGGAATACATCGCCCCGGAAGCCAGGGCCTCAGAAGGCCGACTCGGGCCCAGCCCAAGTGAACA